TATTGTCCTGATGATCTTTGCCTTAATGAAGCTGAGAGCAGCTCCTCAATTTCCCCTGCACATCACAGTGTGTCCATTAACATGATTTACTAAACAGGAGACGGCGGCTGAACGCCGTCCAGACGTGCACGGTAACACAGGTGAAATGTGTGTGTGTGTGTGTGTGTGTGTGCAGATGCAGAGCGACGAGGGGACAGAGTGGCTGCTGGAGCTGCTGACAGACGTTCAGCTGCAGCAGTACTTCCTGCGGATCCGTGATGAGCTCAATGTCACTCGACTCTCCCACTTCGACTACGTCAAGAACGAAGACCTGGAGAAGATCGGCATGGGGCGCCCAGGTGGGTTGTTGATACTTTACAGTTGAACTATAAACTTTATTATAAGAATGTTGAGTATAGCAGTATTAAGTATGTGGAGTAATGATTGGTGAGTATAAAAAGTATGACTATGAACTGTTCTCTGTGTCTGCGGTGGCTCAGGTCAAAGGAGGCTGTGGGAGGCCGTCAAGAGGAGACGAGCTCTTTACAAACGAAAGTCCTGGATGAGCAAGGTGCAGGAACAACACACAAACATTCAGTTCTGCAGTGAAACAGGCAGTTTCTCATCCAGAGCTGATTCCGTGATCTGAGGGAATCCACAAAATATCAAAATACTTTTCACAAACATTTGTTCTTTGACTTCCCTTATATTTCACCAAAATCTTACTAAAGTTTGAATTCCAATTGACATATCTCTTCCTTTTCTCCTTCTGCCTCGTCAGGTATTTCCAGTGAAACGTTCTGACGCCGACCCCCAGCAGTCCCTCCCCCAGGGGGCGTCGTCCAGCCAGGCCCCTGCCGCCAGCGAGTCGACAGCCTCCCTCACCTGCCTGATCAGAGAGGCGGAGCTGCAGCTGTTTGAGAGGCTTGGAGACGGCACGTTCGGAGTGGTGCGGAGAGGAGAGTGGACCGGTCCCAACGGCAGAGTGGTGAGAGTGGAGAAGAGTGTGGAAACAATCGGAGGGATTGTGCTCATCACTGTGCATCACCACCCGAAGGCTGTTTTTTTTCATTATGTTTAATTACAAGACTTTGTCGCCGATGTTGCTGCGTCTCTCCCTCTTCGTCTCCAGCTGTCGGTGGCGGTGAAGTGTCTGAAAGCCGGCGTGTTAGACTCAGACGGGCTGGACGACTTCATCAGGGAGGTGAACGCCATGCACTCACTGAGCCACCAGAACCTCATCCGGCTGTACGGCATCGTCCTCACACAGCCCATGAGGATGGTAAAAGCACAGACACGCACAATCACACACATTCTGGCTTCATTACTGTGTCTGCTGTCCTTGACCCACAAACGTGGACAGAGGTTGTTGCTGATCTGAGCTCTGTGTGTGTGTTGGTGTGTGTCTGTGTGTAGGTGGCTGAGCTGGCTCCTCTGGGCTCCCTGTTGGATCGTCTCAGGAAGCGTCAGGGTCACATCCTCATCTTGTCCCTCTGTAACTACGCTGTTCAGGTCTGTGCAGAAACATTTCATCACATCTGTGGTGCAGATGTTTGTGGAAAACTGTCTCAGATTGTTTCACTAACCCTTTGTCCTTGTGTGTGTGTAGGTGGCGTGTGGCATGGCCTACCTGGAGCAGAGGCGTTTCCTCCACAGGGACCTCGCCGCCCGCAACGTTCTATTGTCCACCAACGACACGGTGAAGATCGGAGACTTTGGCCTGATGAGGGCGCTGCCGACACACACCGACCAATACATCATGGAGGAGGGTCACAAAGTCCCCTTCCCTTGGTGAGGAGAGGAGCAGCCTGGTTCTGCTCCAGGAAACTCTGCTGTCGCTTTATTTTTTGAAAATCAGTTTCTTCCTGTCTTCATCTCCATCCTTGTCGTTCTCCCCAGGTGCGCTCCAGAGTCTCTGAAGTCTCGTTCTTTCTCTCATGCGTCCGACACTTGGATGTTCGCGGTCACTCTGTGGGAGATGTTCACCCACGGACAGGAGCCGTGGCTGGGCCTTAACGGGAGTCAGGTACGTGCACGCATCATCACTTAAAACTCAATTAAACTTCAGCCTCTTGTAAAAACATTTTCATCATCTCTTGATTTTAAAAATGCACCAGTCACTTTTCAGAAAGTTACAGTTCATGCTTGTTGTGTGCGTGTTGTGTGTTTGCAGATCCTCCACAAGGTGGACGTGGAGGCCGAGAGGTTAAGTAAACCAGAGGACTGTCCTCTGGACGTTTACAACGTCATGCTGCAGTGCTGGAGCCCCAAACCTGAGGACAGACCCACCTTCATCGCCCTCAGAGACTTTCTGCTCGAGGTAGTTTGGCAGTTTTAGACTCTAAATAATTGACTATTAGCCGCTCGGTAAGTAAACAAAGTGATGCACCAGGCGAATAAAAGACAACAAAGGGAAAGAAAGGAGAAAAAAATAATAGTTTGTTCCATGTGTGTGACACTTCTGTAAGATTTCATGTTCTCTGCAGACGATGCCCACAGACATGAGAGCCCTGCAGGACTTTGAGGAGGAAGACAAGCTCCAGATCCAGATGAACGATGTGATCACCATCATAGAGGGAAGGTCAGTGTCTGACAGTCTGGTTTGCAAACACACGCAGGTAGAACGTCACTGTGTTGTTTCATCAGGATCTCTGCTTCTATACAACACGACTTCTTTCTGTCAGACAGGATTGTGTGTGTTGTGACTACAAGACAACAAATGCGTCTCTTGTTGACGCAGGATTCTTTGCATTGTGAAGAATTGCTGTAATTTGTGTCTCGTTACTGACTCGTGACAGAAAGATTGTGGCTCCTGCTGAGGGACAGACACATGTGTGTTTCTGCCGCTGGAATTTAAAACCACAACCTAATAAGATGGTTCTTCATTTCCCGTTTCATTTATGTCTCATCATGTGAAAGTTTGTTTGCCTCAGGAAAACCCCCGTTATCTGCTCTATGGTCAGACATGTGAGAGAACTCACAGCAGTAGAAAGATGTTTCTCAGCTTTAACTTTAAATTGGTATTCGTGTGTGTCATGTGCGTGTTTTCAGGGCGGAGCATTACTGGTGGCGAGGTCAGAACAGGCGGACGCTGCGTGTCGGTCAGTTCCCTCGCCACGTGGTGACGGCGGTCGCTGGTCTGTCGGCCCACGACATCAGCCGACCGCTCAAACACTCCTTCATCCACACGGGACACGGAGACACGGACCCCCACAGGAGCTGGGGACATGCAGACCGCATCGACAGGTTAATAATCCACAGTTATCAACATCACCACCCTGGTTTCATTATCAACATGATTTCAAATAAAACACTTGATAGAAGATTTTATTCTGCAAAGCAACAATATGCAACTCGTCTTTGACTTTAAATCAGCAGCTTGATTAAAACTATTTAGTTTAGTTCACTGACTGTTGATATGGAGAATGAAGGGTTCGGAGCAGATTGGTGATGTGATGTTAATCACCAGTGTGTGGCTGCAGAGGGCGCTGTTGCACAGTAGAAGTTACAGTGTTGCTTTAAATCGTCACGTGAACCTTCATCACAAACCAGAGATTCACCATTGACATGATTTAAATCTAGATTTCCACTGCATGAACCTCATCATTTAAACTGGTTCATCATAAGCAACGAACATTAATATATCATCAGCCGCTTGAACCATGAGTGTGTGTGTGGTGTTGGTAAAACTCTCCACTGGAGAGCAGCAGTGCACCACCTGACGTTCTGATGCACAGCCAGAGTTTCCTGCTTCCTCCAAAAGAAAGCCTCAGATCCCAGAGCGACAATTCAACAAGCTTCTGTTACTGGAGCAAATAAAATGTAAACTAGTTGAGAAATGAATTTAGAGCAACATGAATCCATTAAATCTGATTTATAATTGTTCTTCTCTCTCTCAGTCTGTATCTGGGGAACCCCATGGACCCCCCTGATGTCCTGGGAATGGAGTCGGGCATCGCCAGACCGACCAAACTCCCCAACCGTGCCAAGAGTAAACTCATCCAAACACTAAAATGCACATAATTGATATTGTTAATTTATTTTAGATTTTGATATTATAGAAAACTGATCATTCTCCTGTTCGAGTCATCGTAACTTTAAAAATAATTCTCTCTTCCAGAGCAACCTCCCCCTCGTCCACCTCAGCCTGCTGTTCTGCTGAAGAGTATGTTTCCTCTCTTGGTCTTTTATTATCTGACCTTTAAAAATCTGCTGCTTTTATTATCTCACTCTGTGTGTGTGTGTGTGTGTGTGTGTGTGTGTGTGTGTGTGTCTGTGTGTGTAGAGCCGTTCTACGACTCAGTCTTGGACGATTACGACGATGATGACGACACCAGCACCTCGTCGGGCCTGAAGCGGCTCGGAGTGTCTCTGGGTCTGAAGCTGCGACCGTGGGAGGGGTCCCTGGTGCGTTCGGCCAAGAGCGAGGTGTCGCTCATCGACTTCACCGACGACAGCTTCAGCTCGACCACGCCGTCGCCGCTCACTGAGACACACCCGCCGGACGAGGACACACTGAAGGTGAAACACAAACTCTTGATAATCTCATTACTTGCACGTCAGCCACTACTACACTAATGCATGACTAATAATAATCTAATGATGTAATACATGAAAGTCATCATGGCCATTTTTATTCATTCTGTAATTTAACTTTTAAACTACTAAAAGTACATTTTCTTTATTGTACCTAACTAATATTAAGATTTTCAGCTCAGTACTCTTTCTTGCCATTTTTTTATTTTTATACGATACTAATACTTTGACTTAAGTAAAGGATCTGAGTTCTTCTGCCTGAATTTAAAACTTTAATTAAAATGTAGTCATTGGATTGAATAAATTAGAAATTAAGAGTCACACCAATGATCTGATTTTGATGAATTAGGGAACAGTCGTGTTCTGAATCTCTTTGACCGTTTATTTACATAATGTTAAGACAGATAATTTCTCTCTTGCGGTCCATAATATATATATATTTTTTCCTGTTCATTCATTCCCCCGGTCTGACTTTGGGGCTTTTTACCTCCAACATCAATTTTCATTATTTTAAAATCAACCGCAGAAATGTGTGACGGTCCTCAACAATAATAGGTTCACAATCACACAGTGTTTTCCCTTTAGGCAGTTCTCCAGCCTTTGGCCCAGAAATGTCAAATAGAATCAATTTCTCCTTGGATGCATTTAAGATTGATCATGTGAATGTTCAGTCTTTACTGGTTCAGTGGTTTCACAGTGATTCCACCTCATAGCTTCAGCCTCACTTCGATCTTCTCAACCAAACTGTGGCAGAACGCTACTTGGTTTGGGTGGAGTTGTTTCTACATATTTACAACAGCAGCAGACTTGTTCTCTTGTTTCGGTTTAATCGTTGGACGGACGGTTTGGATTCCGGACATTTGTTGTCCCCATAGTTGATAAATAATCAAATCAAATCCTCTTCTACCGTATCTTTGCTCAGCTCCTCAGATAACTTGTCATTCTCGTCCTCAGGACACTCCCTCCATCCTGGACTGGCCTCTCCCTCAGCCGTCTTACGACGAGGTCGCCACGGAGCTCGAGGACCAATCGGAGGACCAGGAGGTGAAGTCTATCAACAGGCGTCTGAGTGAGGAGGCCACGCCTGGCGCCACTGTTGTGGGCAGGAGCGAGTCGCAGTCAGCTGACCTGTTCCAGGAACTACAGAGAGAGGTAGAGGACGTGAGGACTCAGGTTTTCGAACATCTAATTCTAAACTAACGTTTGTCTCTGATGATGCAGGTGATGGTGAAACTGCAGGTTCCCATGGCAACGGGCCGCTCCCTCCCCTCCTCCCCTCTCCCGATCCCTCTGGCTCCGTTGGGCCCCCACAGACAGATCCTCCTCCCTCCTCCCTCCCCCTCCTCAACCTTTGCCTCCTGCTTCGAGGACCGGCCGGTGCTACCTCCTCGCAGCCCTGTCCCCCCGCTGCGTCCCTCCAAACACAACCTCTCCGTCCGCACCACCCAGCCGCAGGTCCGCTCCAGCTCCATATCTGTGGGGGACGAGGAGGACACGCCGCCCCAGATCCCACCTAGGGACCACGCCTTTTCTCAGCCGGGCTCCCGCTCCTCCTCTCCCCTCCCACTAGCCCCGCCGCCCTCCGCCTCGCCCGTGGCTCTTCCCCCTCCTCCCCTCTTCGTCTCTCCACGGCGGACGGCAGGACTCCTGGGTCCCCTTCTGTCCTCAAGTTCCCCGTCCTCCTCCTCCTCCTCTCCACTGTCTCAAGCCACATCCCATCCTTCACGCCTCGCAGCTCCCGGCTCCTCTTACTCCTCCAGTCCTCTTCTGGACCCTCTCTCCTTCCGTGAGGGACGCGGCCTGTCCTCGTTGATTGACAGCTCCCAGAGCTCTGCTCCTGCCCCGCTGCCGGAGAGACCAGCTTTTCTGGAAAGGTTTGTTTGTAAAACACGTCCTCAACTCGATCAGTCCACACGTTAGTTTTTCAGTTTAAAAGAAAATGCAAAGTTGTTCCCAACACAACTATATAAATATAAATATATATAGTGCATCATTATTTCTTATCTGTGAATTTTTCTGATCAGATACGGAGCAGCCAATATGGTGGCAGTCAAACCCATGATGCAGCAGAAACCAGGCGGAGCCAAACCTAATTCCTCTTACAACAACAACAATGGGTGGACTGCAGCTCCCAGCATGCAACAGGAGCAGAGCATCACACAGGTAAAGTAGAGTAAGAGGAAATCCCTCACAAACAACAAACACAAGACAAGAACATTAAAAAGAACCAATTTCTATTTAGATGAATATTATTTGTAATAGGGTGAAATTTATTTTAATTTGAGCAAATGACGATTTACACATATATTTGAAATATGATATTCTGATAACATGGAGTCCGTCTGTGCAGAATACTGATGTGTAAAAGATCAAAAGCAGATGTTGGCTGCGTACCCACAGGCTTGTATCGCTCAAATCCCTTTTATTTAGAGATGATTTTACATTTGATCTTATCTGCAGTCATGAGTCCTGCTGTCATCAGCACACATGGAAGATATTGAGCCCGTAGTTAAATAAAATTCACTCTCTCTGTTAGTTCTTCATTCGTTATGAATACATGGCGTGATTGACAGGTGCAGGCAGCAGTGCATGGTGTCACGATGGAGGAGTGTAAGTCCGCCCTGCAGAGTCACAACTGGAGGATCCCTCAGGCCGTCAACCATCTGAAGGTAGAGCGATTTGCAGAGGCAAAACAAACAAAGCACGTTAAAGTTACAGTAATATTGGGTTTTACGTGAAATGCTCGTGTCACCGTGTGAACTGCAGGTGGAGCAGTTGTTTCGGTTGGGGCTGCGGTCGAGAGCTGAGTGTGAGAAGCTTCTGCAGCTCAGCCAGTGGAACCTGGAACAGGCCAGCACGGTGTTGTTAGAGACGTACGGACCCCATCTGAACAGGTGAAACAAAAACAAAAGAAAAGATCACCGTAGAGATGACATTATTACATTACATTTCATTTAGCTGACGCTTTTATCCCACTTGGTGTCTTGCTGCTGTCGCTGTAATCAGTAATGATAGTCACATTTTAAAGTTTGGTTGTACTTTGAAACACTGAGTTCACAAAATGTATAATTTTTAATCTTAATTAAAATACGATGTACCTCGGGGTTCAATGTTCGGGCCCCTTTTGTTTATTTCTCATTTTCTAATTTTAATTGATTTTAAATTAAACAGAGCATTTCGGGCAGAAACACCTTCCTGCTCTGACTTCAGAAGAAAAAACTCAATCAAAAGAAAAAGCTAAGACTTTTAAAAAGGTTCTATTTCTAAACACTCTGTTTCATATGAACAGCTTCCTCGTTGCAGGATCCTAAATTTGCATGGGAAAAAAGTGAATTCTCACATTTCCTCAAACACCTCAGCTCAGGTCTACTAATAACCACACACATGTGATACCACCTCTCTCTGTCGGTGTCACAGGAAGTGACAGCGGTCACAACGAGGTGCAAACCAACAACTGATGATCCCCTCGGGATGACTCATCGCTCCGAGGACCCAAGACGTAGCAATGCTTCTTAATGAATGGAGGAATATAAGGCAGTATTACGTGCCTCACTCTATGTACTGTGAACACTTGCTACTACTTGCGTCATATACATGCATGCTCATCATTAGCTTACAGAGCAGCTTGTTAAATGAGTCACACACTATGTACTTGAAACGTTGATATTTATGTTTTTGCTACTTGCATAACGAGAGTAGAGTTTTTTTCCGCTGAGCGCTACTGCAAACTTTTTGTGGGTGTGAGATTTGCGTGCATGTGTGTTTTGCGTGTGTGCAAGTCTGAGCTTACACCGAGGTACCAACACTGTAAACGTCCATGCCTTTTCGCTGTTAATGAAATCAGGGAAGTGTGAGCTAACGAGTACTCGTATGTTTCCGTGAAAATGTACAGATAAGACGCTGTATTGTATTTAGCACTTTACCGAGTGTGGATATTTCCGCGGATGTGTTAACTGCTGGTCAGGAGAAGATAAACAATATGTCTTGTTAGTGCAGCCAACACAGATACCGACTGTAGCATACTGAGTATTTTTAATGAATCATTTGTGTTTAAAGCTTTGTGAGAGATTCGTCAAATGAAAGAAGTTATCGTAGGCAATTAAATCTCATGAACAACAGTCATAGTCACTGAGTTAAACAAATTATACATTTAATGTGATATAAAAGTGATGTTAAGCTTTTCCTCCAGTGAAAACTACTGCTGTATGATAATCACAACATCATGAATATGTAGTATGTGTATGAGTAGGTGTGCTTAGCGTTGTGGATATAGAACCTTCACACATCCTGAGTGTGATCACACCCGGATTCATCAGCAGCTAAACAGAAAAGGAAATGATGAAGGAATCGTTTGTCGTTGCAGCTACTCTGGCTTTTATCCGGCCAGCGATCACTTTAACTGAATCATTAAAGCAGCTTATAAATGTAATATATGCAAATATGTCCTGGTGTTTTATAATAAACTGAAATTTGAGACTCTCTTTTCAGTTCTGCCGGTGTTTGTGATTCT